CTGTATCCCGGCCTGAAGCCCGACTGGAGCGGGTCCAGATAGACTGTTTCCTCCAGGTGTCGAGGGAACTGCTGCGCAACCACACTCTCAACAACCTTCGCCACAAAGCGAAGGTTGGAGACCGGGCGATAGTTGGCCAATACATCTGGGTCCAGGGAGGGCTTCTTAAGGAGGGGCCTCACCACCGCCTCCTTTAAGGTTTATGCTCATTCCTAAAGGCACAATACCACAGCCATCCTACAGCTCCATTTTCAATTGCAGGTTTCAATTTCCAAGACTGAGAAACACTACTTAGACAGTACAGTTTAGGAAAAACTAGAGATTGTGTAATAATAAAACGTTTTTTGATTGATTCCCTTCTTTCCTGCTTTTTCATCTGGTAAACACTTGACTGTTCAGACAAAACAGCAAATGAAATAAATAATTTTTTCAGGGGTCATATAATTTCAGACTGCAGGTAAAGTGAAGATAAACTGCAGTCATTACTGAAGACTATTTCAGATAAAATCTTCCTGTGCAAAGAAAATAAGCATTCAAAGAGAACAATATTAAACTAGTTTTTAACCTTAGAATTTGGAGGATATTGAAACAAAGAAAAATCCAGAGGTTATCAGTTGGATCATTCCCATCTGCTGATCGAAGCACTTTAGAGAGTGAATAGTTTTCACTTCCGACTCTAGATTAAATCATTAAACACACATACTCTCTCTTCCTCTCTCCCTCTCTCCCTCTCTCCATCTCTCTCTGTCTCTGTCTCTGTCTCTCTCTCTCTCTCTCATACACACACACACACACACACACACACTGTTCAATGATAACAAGTTGTGAGGAATAAATTAATTCCCTTCCTGTTCTAAATCTCAATTTCTTTTGTAGAATTATCAAACATATCAAACAGAAGATATGAATTCAGTTAATTGCCAAGACAATTATCCCTTGGGATTCAAGAAATATGCCAAAGAAAGAAGTGGGAAGTGACAAAATAGCTTTTTAACAGTATGTATACATTACATTACATTTAATTTAAGGTTACTTGGCAGCCTAAAATCTCTTGGACTAGTCAGAGATACTTGGAAGGAATGCCCTCTGGCAAAACACAGAGCTGCCAATGTTCTGTTGCAACTCACACATTCATCAATTTTTTCCCCTGAAAGTTCCTCAATCCAACCTAGCTATGAATTCAGTAACTTTTATAATAATGGTTTTCCTAAATTGTGAAGATATGAGCTGTGGTGGCTCAGTGGTTAGAATGCAGCACTGCAGGCTATTTCACCTGACTATAGGCTGCCTGTAGTTTGGCGGTTCGATTCTCATTGGCTCAAGGTTAGCTCCGCCTTCTATCCTTCTGAGGTTGATAAAATGAGGACCCAGATTGTAAACCACTTAGCGAGGGCTGTAAAGCACTGTGAAGTGGTATATAAGTCTAAGTGCTATTGCTATTGCTACCAGTATATATCTATGAGACAGGTGGCATCACTGGGTCCCATCAAGCCACATTTTTCAGAAACGTAACTGCTTTGCTATTAAGCTTCAGAACTAAAAGAGAAAAGGGGGGGGGAATAAATGGCTCAATCTTACCCGAAAGACCTTTTCAACTCGTGCAATGCCCTTCCCAAAGATGGTTCCAAGCTGGTCACCTATGCCAGCTAGCAGAAAGCCAAAAAGTGGGATTCCAAAGATGGCATACAAAATACAGAAAATTTTTCCGCCTTCTGTGCTTGGGGCAATATTTCCATAACCTGTTGAGAAAAAAAGAAGAAGTTGGTTGTGAACTCTCTCTTCTGAAGATTGTGAGGAGGAGAAAGGAATGGAGCTAAACAGGGATGGATACACTCAAATCAATTCTTTTGCACTTGCCAAAGACCCAGAGCTTCTCAAAGCAGAGTAAGAATGCTAGAACTTGCATATGCCGGTCATTCCCTTTTCTGAAGACTCCTGTGTCCCTCCCTTTGAACCCACTGCCATAATTTGGCAGCAAATTGCCTAAAATGATGTACAATGTATTGGTGACTTCTAACAGAAATCCAAATGAATAAAACATGCTAGGTTTCTGAAGAACCTCAGTATAGCCTATATAATCTAGCTAAAAGTGATGCCAACCTTTAGCTGACGAACTTTGGGAGTTCAGATACACATATCTTAAAGATGCCAAGTTTAGAAAAACACTGCTATAACCCTATAACCAACATGTGCCATTAAAAAAAACCTGAAAAATGTGGTTTTATAATGCATTGCTGTCTATTTCTGTGTGACTTCATAATACATTGCTGTCCACTTATATGACTTCATAATGCACTGCTCAGGCCATCTTTTTTTTTTAAGTAAAACCTCAACTATCTGAAATTAACTTAATCCTATCTTAGGACACAGTATCATGGAAATTCAAGCATCAGCTTGCCATGTGATATTAAAAGCCAAGATTAAACATGGGATGAGGACTGTATATTAAGAGCTTCATATTCTCCCCTTAGTCAGCCCAGGAATTTGACTATTAGAATTGTAAGTCAGCATGGTTTATTTAATTTGTTTTGCCAACAATTTAAATGAAATATATTGTGAGCGTGATATTAATCCTTGTACCTGCTTTTATTTCATTTTTGCATATTTTCAGATTATCTTTACTGAGAAGCTTTTAAACACATTTAAGATGCACAATATAGTTATACGCTCCAGAAGACAAAATGAAGGAAAAACAGAATTAGAGACTGTGTCCCTGCTGACAAAATAAAGCAGATAGGGATTTGTGTTTCTGAAATACAGATACCAATCTCTATATGGCAAAATTTCTAGCATTTCATAATGATATACTTACAATGATGGATTCATAAATGTTTAATATCACTTGGAACTTCAATAGAAGATAGAACTTAGCTTGCCATAAAGTAATAGTAATGACTGGTAGCTTTTTAAAAATTCACATTCAATAAACAAAACTAAAGCAAAACGTTCACAGCAAACTCTAGGCTAAACAGGTGGTACAAGTAGAACTGTTAAATATGAAACACTACATAGTTTTAGATTCAAGATTTGGATTTAATGTTTGGTTGCACTCTTTAGAAAGTATAAACTGTATTCAATATTTTATAACTTAAAATATGTACTGCAATCTGTAAAGAATCCCCTAGCCAGCTATTATTAAAGATTGGTTTGCTGTGTTTGGTTTAGGAATATAAACACTTAACATGCAAATGCTGTGATAATATCCAGAAATGATTTTGCAGTTATAACGTCTATCTCTCATTATTCTCTAGTAGCATTTTTTTTAAAAAAAAAATTAAGAGTAATGCCACGGACCGATGCCAGTTAATAAGGTTCTAATTCAACTGGTGAGGAACACAAAAGAAAGCTATTATTGAATGAGATGGCTAAACAGCACCACGCAACAGCAGCCCTTATGTATCTCAAATGAACAATAGTTCGATTCTAGTTCCAGAACAATTACCCTGCTAATCTTAGATAGTGGGACTAAATTATAAGAGCCATTTCACCAAAAAATACCAGCATTTTATTTCAGTTTGATAGAGAAAACAGAAGTCAGATGCTGCTGTCTATTATTTTCAAAGGTAAACTAAGCAATATGGACTGTGTGTGTGCGTTAAGTGTGCACTTATGCACAAAACAGAATGAAGGCTTGCAGTCCTCTGCTGATTGTTCTGCAGCTGACGGTCAAATAAACCTAATTTAAACCTTTTTTTTCATTGCCAACAGAGTCACTCTCATTATTCTTTCAAGACAAAGGGAATCTCCTTTCTTTGCCTTCTTTTGGCTATTTGATACATCTGTTGGAATATTCTATAGTTTTATTTCCGATTAATTCATTTTATTTGAGGTGGTGCCTTTTATTTATTGATTTAGACTCCGTGGTTTGGGTCCATACTTCAGACCTCCTCTTAAAGTAATAGTTGATAGGCTATATAAAACCCATTTTCCCCATATGGTCATGCCAGGACAAGATCATTCAGAAATATAAATTAATAAAAATGCATAAATAGATACCTATAGTAGTAATGACAGTTCCTGCAAAGAAAAAGGCACTTCCAAGGTCCCAGTGACTGCTGCTATTAGAAGAATCTCCAACAGGGTTGACTCCTGCACTGGTAGCATTCATAACCCGCTACAAAAAAAATTAAAAGCAAATTGAGAGCAGAATATATTGTAGCTGAACAAAATATCTTGTCTTCCAAATGAAAGATTGACGGAGCTTGCTGCCAGTGCTTTTCTCTAAACTTCCAGGCAATAAAAAAAATTACCTATTGTCTACTACTTGACCTCTCTGATACAAAATGCCTCTCAATTTCTACATGCAAAGCTGTATTCCTCTATCAGTGAATTAAAGCTTCTCCCAGAGTCCATTGGAGTTGTGCAGCTGCAACACTTTTAAGTATAAAATAAAATAGATTCCTTCAAACAGCATAGGTACCCAGCAGTACACTGATTTACATTGATACATCTCAAAAAGATGCAAGATGCTGCATTTTACAAGACACAGAAGCCAAAGAAAAGAACTTACCCATGTACGTATTTAAGATGCATATTATCCTGTGTATCTTGTTATGTCAACCTTCCTATTCAAACCTTCTCTAATATGGTGACCTTCACCATTGTTAAGATTATAAAATTATAAATGCTAGTATTCCCAGCTGGCTCTGATAGACCATGCTGGAAGGAATTTTTGGAATCTGTAATTTGTAAATCACTTCCAACAAAACAGAACCATGTCTTTCTGCACGGCAATTTTTGCATTTTTTGAAACATTCATTCCCCATAATATATCACACATTACTTTCTTACCAGCATTTGCACCATGATACAAAAATCAATTCTACTCTAACTTTTCAGCTTTTATATACAACACTTTGATACCTTGATTTTCACTCCCCAGTTTATCATGTGATGTAACATTCACTCAAAATAGTTCAATCTTGGTATACAACACAGCTTCATGAAAATGCATGTGCATTTATGTCCTCAATTGATACATATCTACCATCATCTTATACTTTCATCCATAACTACAATAAAAAATAAAGGAAATATCACGTATTCTTATCTTAATCTCTGTTCAGCATTGAACCATTTCCAATACATTCAATTTAATTATCACACATACTTTCTGTCTACCATATAACATTTTTATTACATTCAGCATAGTCGTGCAAAACATTCCACAATTCAAAACTCTTTGCTTCTTTATATATTTCTTCTAAATTGACAAGTTTAGAATAATTTTTTTTCTCATATTCATACGTTACTGGTAACCTGAAGAACAGAAATCTGGTTTATATACTCTTTGCATAGCACAAAGTGCTGCACTTTTCAAATTTTTCTCACTGCTGCCTCTCATCTCTTGCAAGCATCATTTTGCCAACTTTCCCACTATACATAGCAAATCAATATAGTTTTGCATTCATTCTTGCTCCCTTCTCATGTATATAGGAAGACAATCCAGATACTCTAGAGACTACCTTGCAAGTCAATATATTGTTGACTGCTTCCCAACTACAAGTATATGCAATATTCGAATGTGCATTCAGGATTCAAGAAACAGGAATCTGGGATTCGCAAGGGATTTTTTTTTCCTCTTGAATGTGAAAATGCAACAGATTAATAAGTCTTGTATCACATGCATGCCAGTTATATATTCTCTTTGAGTGCTAACTTGAACTTTCAAATTAACATTTTCAAACAGACCAGAGCATTTTCCCTAGTCACTGTTGCCTGTCCAGGAGTGTCTACATTGTCCAAACGGAGGGTGAAACAGAATAAGTGAAAATGTACCCCTTTTTGACATGACTAGCATACATTGCACACACAAAATGAGACAGGACTTCATTCACACACTTGTGCCCCCACTTTTGACATTGTTCATCTCATCTCAGGATGTCTCTGCTATCCAGGCTTTTCTTCCTTGAGGCTCTAATTTCTAAGCCATTTTCGTCTGCATGGTCCTCAGTAATCTAAAAAACTCAAATTCTCTAAAAAAAATCCAAGCAAAGGAACCAATGCAAGAAAATTATACAATCTGCTTAAGGTCTTCTTTCATTTCTGTCTAGGATGTTGATGTTGTATTTCCCTCCTTTGAAAAATAAATGCAATGCTGAAGTTCTCCTTTATATTGCTGTTTTGTACTTGTAATCATCTTTTTCATTATCCCCCCTCCACACACACACACACACACACTTTCATAGAGGAGACACAGTTTGTAAGAATGAGACACAGTTTGTAAGAATATGTTTTTAAAAGTGAAAATAACAAAGCGGATCTGTAAAAATCCTGGACAAGAAGATGACTTATGCAATAAGGAAAATCATCTTCCTTTGTGGCCAATTAATTGCCCACATTACTTATGTTGGTGTGAAAACAAGTAAACAAATGGTGACCTATTAAAGCTGTGCACAATTTAATGGCATACTGCATTTAGTTATCATCAAGTGACATTTATGAGAGTACTTGGCTGGTATAAGAATGTGGTTAATAAATACATAACAAAAAATGCTGCCAACAGAAGTTCTTCCATTGTCTTCAAATTTAGCTTCACACGCATCATATTTCAGTAATCTAGACAAGAGTTTATGGCTGCCACTGCAATTTGTAAAAAATGAATCAAGACTTATACTATTACCAATTATCTTTCAAAGGTTTATATAGCAGACATTTTGGGTTGCGCCTTAACTTTCCTACCACATTAGCAGTGCAATTTATTTTTTATCTTGTTTTTCTTTTGGCCAGGAGGTGACATAAAGCTCTTCTCCCAGGCCAAGAACTCTGTGCTTTTAATTTTACTTGCTAAATATTTTTTACATTCGTTTCACAAATGGATTTTCATGCATGAAATGAATATGGAACCCATGTAGCAATTGTGTGCCATGCTAAGATGAAATGGCAATGGCACACAATGTGTCTTGCTGAGCAAAGATAACCTAATCCCACCGGAAAAGAGAGCACATTGGTGGTTTTATTAAGGGCTTCTAATTAGTGCAGGTGTTTGGCAGGATATTAGCGACAGACCATCAAAACTACAAGTTGACTGTAGGAAGTAAATGAACTAAGGGAATCAAAATATTTGTCCAGGAGAAAGTAGGCCCTTGGAAAAATGATTTACCTATATACTCTGCTAATATTTCAGTAGCTATTGTTCTAGGTTACTGAAAGAAACTGTTGCTGCAGCACATCAAAACTGAAAATAATACCAAAATGTATGTGTATCTAGAAAACATTTGCATTTATATGAACTGAAGTACTGAAGTTTTCAGATACTGGAGGGAATCATGAGATTCAAACTTGTCCCGTGTAGAATTTCCTCACTGTTATCTGCTATGAATGGTTAAAATACACAAACAGCTCAACAACTATAGGGAAGACTTACTAATTAGTAAGACCCCAGCATTACCACAAATTAGAATATACAACGAACACACATTTTTCAAATGTGTTCTGGAATATTTTTGACTTGCTATATATGGGAAGAGTTCAATGTATGTTCATTAGTAGTTTCAAAAGAATTTTATACTGACTTTCTGAAGACCATTAACAAGTAGAACTGAACACTGGAAACAAACTCCAGGATGTGAAGAAAACTCTTATTTAAATGGAATAATAAATGCGTGATTTTAGATCTCATCATGTGAGGAAAATGTTTTTCTCTCTCTTAACTTTATTCTTCTAAACTTTTGTTTTTCTTAGGCAGACAGCATCTACTGCAATGGCAAATGTTGCTGTGCCCAGTACAAAGAGACCCTAATTTTAAAAAACCATATTGATATAAATAGCAAAGTGATTAATTCTTTAAGTTCTATTCATTCCACATATTTCACCCAGGTGGCTATTTTTGGGGTCATTTTATATGTAGAATCTCTGCTTCTTATCTCTTTTTAGCAGCTAATCTCAAACTATTTGCCTCTTTACTAGTCTAAAATCCATTCCAGAACCTTATGCTTTCCAACATTTTACTTTTCCAGAAACAATTCCCACGAGGGCCCCTAAATTGCCTTAGGACAAAAGTGAATTCCCCTGAGCTGAAGCTTGTTTAGAATACCTGGCTTTTACAATGAAACAGCCTGCCTTTTCATTAGCAAAAAAGATCATTCTTTAGCAGACTGAGGTAAAAGGACAGGACAAAATGCCCCATGCTTGGCTCAAAACAGAATCACAATACTGTATGCAGCTCAGGCTACAGTAATGCAAGGGGAGGGGGGGAACCAAGAACAATTATCCAGAAAGGTGATTGGCTTCCTTTGCTGGATATGATCAAGCTGAGCCTGGCTAGACATTTGTTTTGGTTTTCATTGAATTCCAACCCTGAGCAGGAGGACTTACTCAGTGGTCTAAATAGCTTTTTCCAATTGTATTTTAAGATGTTATACTCAGGTAAAATGTCTTCAATATCCACATTAAGGATAAATCCTTCCCTGATTTGTCATTTTTAGTCAAAGTTTCTATCTCCCGAGTCAGTATAGACAGGCAATTCTTATGGGTAATGACTGTTATCCCCAAGACATCTGAAATCATATGGACATCGACATAAGGCAATACTTTAGTAACAGTAGTAGTAGCATTATATAATCTAGAAACTCCCAACTGCTATATAAGAAACACTTTAAGATTACCATATCTCAAAAACTTCCTGGAGATGTCCATGTTATAGCCTCTATTGGTTAGGAATAGACAACAGGGTTGTCTTATTTGCTTTTAATAAGGCTGGAAGAATCTCTGGGCAGTCTCACTTTACCATATCCCCCAACCACCTCCTCCCCCAACTTTCTGTGCCTTTCTAGCATTCTCCACTGTCTCAATTCTCTATGATCTCTTTCCATATTTCAATTATTTTCTCTTACTTTCCATCTTTTCTTTCATTTAGGGGACAAAATGAAACGATGTGCCCGTGTAAGCCTTTTTAAGCTCTCAAAGAATGGCAAAAGGTCAACCAACCGTCTATCTAAAATGTTTTCTTTCAGGAAGTTCAAAACCGGTATTTTAAATTATTCTCAGTTTTCACTTTCTCTTCCTCTCTCTCTTTCTTTTTCATTCTCTTTCTCTCTCTTTGTCTGTCTGTCTATCTCTGTGTGTGTGTGTGTGTGTGTGTGTGTGTGTGAGAGAGAGAGAGAGAGAGAGAGAGAGAGAGAGAGAGAGAGAGAGAGAGAGAGAGAGAGAGAGAGAGAGAGAGAGAGAGTCACAGAGAGAAAGATCTTACTTTTCCTCTGACATCTTCATCTCTTCCTTCTCAATATTTGTGGCTGTCATCTCCTGCCTTCTGATGCAACTTTCAGAAGATACTACAGAGTTTGGGACAATGCCACTAAAATACTTTTTATTAATTTTTATAGAGGTCCCCAAATAAGGCTTATTAACCATTATAACTTTTTCTACCAGCTAGTAAGAATATAGCAGAAATGCTTCAAACCGAGGCTCTTTTACAGACTCTGAATGGCTTGGGATAGAATGTTCATGCCAGACCTCTTTATTGCAAGGGTTATATTTGCCCTTTGTCTGGAAGGAAAAATAAG